GAGCCGCTTCCCGTCGCCCCCGTGGCCTCTTGTTTGCTTGGGTTGCTGCGGCCGTTGCGCGGTGACTCACTCGCCTCTGTCTGTCTCCGTTTCCGCTGCATGGCCGCCCGCCCGCCCCACGCTGCAGGATTTGGAGGTTCGCGCACTGGTTTGTAGCCCTCGTGGTTGGGGCCAGCTGCTCCCCGGTGCTTCCCACCGCTCTCCCTGCGCTCGGGCTTCTTCTTGGCGCCCTCCCAGGGCTGCAGGGGAGCATGGAGCTGAGCGCTGAGCTTCGCAGGACGCGTGTTGCGTTGTCCAAATTACGCGCTGGCCTAGGCTGAGCTCCCCATCAGAAAATCCTCATCCTGGAGCTTGATGTTCCTCTCCTTGGCCAAACTGAGCCCTTGGTACCTGTGGGCTGCAGCCTCCTCCACAGCTTTGCGAGCCAGCATCGAGCTCAAAGCCCAGCCTCGTTACGATTAAAACTCTTTGGCAAGCAAATAGCTCTCGGGGCGGCTGCAGCAGGTGAAGTGGAGTCGAGCTCTGCTTTGCTTCGCTTCGCTTCGCTTCCCCGGTGAGTACGGCGCAGGATGTGAGTTGGCGGCAGGGCCAGCGCACAGCTTCCCACAGGCGGGCGCCTTCCCCATGCGTCACCCCACGGAGGGAGAAGCTGCTTTTGGGGGGGGCGGGGGCTGCCGGGGGCCTTGGGCAGCGCCCGTGGGGCCGAGTCCTGAGACTGTGTTTCCTTCTCTTGCAGCTCTCGCTGAAATGCCGTGCACCGGAGGTGGCTCCCTACGTCTTCCAGGCCTATGAGACGGTGCTGAAGAACTGACAGCCGCAGCAGCGCGGCCCGCGCGACGCCGGCCCTGCCTGCATGTTCCCTCCTCGTCCTTGCACGGAAGAAGCGGGAGCTGGAGCCCCCCTTGTGCTGTGCCGCAGGCGGAGCCGCTGCTCCCGGCTCCCAGGGGCCGGGGAGGGAGGCAGGGGCTTCCCCAGCGCTCCCTGCATCCGTGTGGAAATCCCTGTGTGCGTCCTGCAGTGTCCTCCGTGCGCCCGTCCTTGCTCGCAGCTGCGGCGCGGACAGGACGCTGCAGCCCAGGCATCAGTCCCCTCTGCTTCCCCAGGCCCCCGCTGCCTCGGTGCCCTTGTCCCCACATGTGTCCCCATCCCAGCCCTGCACAAATCCGGTGGTGGGTCTCATCCCTCAACGCGGCTGGGGGCTGCGGAAGGATTTGCATCCAGGGCTGTAGAGGGGACTCCCGTGTTCCACGATGCTGGGGGAGCAGCGCAGGGATGGACCGGGGAGAAACACTCCCCCTGCTCTTGGGCCGCTCCGTCCAGATGATACCTTGGCTTCTTCCGCTTGCTGGGTGCTGCCCTCGGCCTCCCTGTCCGCCTTCCAGCCATGATCCCTGGGCTGAGGGTTTTTTCCCCCTCCCCAAGGGGAGCCGTTTCCCAAGGAGCCCCAAGGGCTCGTGGCTACGAGAAGGGCCGCCCCCAGCCACCCTGGCAGGGGAGACCTCCTGGGTGTCCCCTGCCCGCGGCAGCTGCCCTCCTTCCTGCCCCACTGGCACCCGTGAGTGCTCGAGGGGACCTTCTCCCCGCGGTGACACTAATTGTGCCCCCCTCCCCAAAATAAAGCCATTGATCACCCTTCCATAGAAGTGTTTGGTGCAAGTTTTCAGCTCCCGCCAGTAAATACCCAATATATATAATATAAATATTGTGTATGGTGACTTGTTTTAAAAGGACATGGAATAAAGGTGACATTTGCCCCTGGACCTGCTGTCTGCATGGCGGGGGGCAGGTCCAGGCCTGGAAGCAGCAGGACCAGAGGCCGGGGTGAGGGGCAGCTCCTCCGTGGTCTCCTTGGGGCTTGGTGACATCCTGGGGGTGATTCCTGCTCTGCTGCTGGGCTTGGGGTCCTTCTGAGCTCCCTCCCTGCCCGAGCAGCTCCCACTGCCTCCCCTTAGAAAAATGACAGGGACACAGGGACAGTTGGGGTCAGTCGCTTTTACTGGCTGCCGCCGGGATCTCTACGCGGAGCCACATAAACAGGCGGTAGTTACATAAATAGGCAGCTACGGGCACAGGAACGGCCGGCCAGGGAGCGCGAGAGGGGCTGCGGTTACCGGGGGCTGGAGGAACAAGCACCCCTGTCCCCCAAATATAGACCATGACATGAGCCGTGTGTCCCCGAGTCATCTGAAGGATGGAGGGAGAAGCTGAGAAAAGCTGAGAAAAGTCAGAGAAGAGAAAGAATAGAAAAGGAAGAAGACAAGACGGAGAGCAGGAAGAAGAGAAGATGAGAGCAGATTGCTCTCCCTAGTCTGCTCCTGGGGCTGCCAATGCTCCCCCTGCACCCGCTGATGCTCCTGGTGGGACTGGGTGGCACCGAGGTGCCCGTGGCCCCAGGGCCCTTTGCACATGGCTGGGGGTGGGGGCTCCTTCACGTGACCACCATGTCACTGCTTCCCAGCCGGGCTCCACCGCACGGGCCTGTCCCGGTGACCAATGGGGTGTCGCAAGGAAGAGGAGCACCCACCACGGCGCTCAGTGCCTCCTGCCCTTCATCCCCCCATGGGGACTCTCTCCTAGGACAGCGGGGCCACCGTGTCCCCAGGGTGCCCCCTGCCCAATCTTGCCTGGCACCTCCTAGCATGGGACCGGGTG